TAAGAAATAAAAATCATATTACATAGTTCATCTAGTCCTAGCACAAAATTAATCTAGCCTAGCATGGTGGGAAGAAGAAAATCAGAAAAATAAATAAAGAACGACATCACCAATTCGATTCTTGAATTGGATCTTCGTGTTCTTGGAGTTGATCTTCGCGTTCTTGCCTCTTTTCTGCTCTCAAAAGTCTTCTCCAATCTCCCTCCTCACTTTTGGACGGCCCTAGGGTTTTAAAATACCCCCCAAGATTCGTTTCCAGAAGAGTTGTAGTCGAATTAGGAAACCAGAATTTTTTTCCCGAAATGGCCTGGGCGAGCGCCCAATACAAAATGGGGCGGCCGCCTAGGCTATTTATTTTTGTTCTGTTAATGATCTTGAAGGTTGGGCGGTTGCCCAGACTAAATTTTTGCAACTTTTATTTTCCGCCCTTTTTTTCTATCTTTCTTCCATCTTGGTCCTCCTCATCAAACTACTTCAATTGTAGTGCTTCAACTTTTATCTAAATGCATGTTAGTCCCAAAATTCCATCAATTAACTCATTTATCCTTCTTTCTTTTCCAATTGCTTCGAAACAAGTCCCAAACTGAAGTAAGATAAAAATAACCTAAGTTAAGCAAAATGCAATAATAAAACGACTTAGTAAAATTGCCCCGAATAAGTGCACAAAAATGCACTTATCAGCTACTTTATATTCTTTAAATACAGAGGGAACTCGAGCTTCAAAGTCCATATATTTGACATGATAGCCGCTGAGGTTCACTATCCAGCATATGATAGCCGTAATTTTGAAGAAATGAATCACCATCCACGGTATTCTATCCCCGAAAGGCAAGAAGAAAGTGATGACAACTCTATTAAAATCCTAGATTCCCTCCCATCTAAACTAGTGGCATGCTCTTTCCAGATGTCCAACTCTACTTCAAAGTGTGTTTTGGTAAGACATGGTACAGGACATGATTGTCAAGACCTTCAAAGTCTTGTCTTCAATTGAATTTGCCAATATTCAATTAAATTTAATTTACTATCCTACGATTTTTGAGATGATTTACTCATATTTGAATTGCTGAACTTCACATAAAAGCCAATCATCCCGTGATACTATAAGGGATCATGCTGCAGGAACATCTTCGCTTAAGTATCCTTCATTCATAGTCGAAATGAAAGCTACTCTGACTCCACAATGGGAGGTGGTAAGTTCTTGAGTTTTATGTAACTTGATAAATTTTATTAGTGAACTTTGTTGCGTGAATTTGTCCACAATTATGTTTACATTGTTACATGTATAAACTTTCGGACCCTGATGCAGTGCAACTATTTTAGTTTCTGAAGTATGTGCCAGCTCAATTTGCTAAGGTTTATCTCTCAAAATTTCCAAGAAGTGTATTGAACTTCACGATTCTGATAGTAAGAGTTGATTTAAAACCAGTGTCATACAATGCGTACTTTAAGCACGGGATGGTCAGCATTTGTGAAGGCAATATAAATCTGCTCTAAAAGTTTCAATATTTCACAACACTGACAGATTTGTGATTGTAGAGAAGCAAAAATTATGATTAAGAAAAAAGATTATTAAAAAAGGCAGACAACTTCAATTCAATTGGAGGAAAATCTGTGCTTCTACTCTTACAGATGCTTTACTGGATTGGTGATATCATGGTGCACATTTTCTTGGATTAAGCTTCAAATGTCAGCTTTAAGAAATTTATCTGTTTTTAATCATTTTCTATTAGAAAATAAAATATCTTAGTGTTTCGCGCGGGTAGTCGCTAACAATTAAAAAAGAATTCAGACGATTGTATAAGGGACAAACCTCTTGAGATAGAGTCCCAAAATGGGGTGTTTTATTGATGAGAGTTACAATTGAAAATAAACAGAATGCCTCCAAGGGACGCAAGCACGCGAATACTGAAAATGGATAATTAAAGTTAATATAAGAAATTGAAATTACACATTCTTTATTTGAGAGTGTTTGATTCGGGGTCCTTTCTCTACATCTTCTCTTCCTTTTTATATTCCCATGATGATTTCTTCGTGACAAACTGCTTGGGAACTGTTTGATTGCTTTATAACTACTCACTTTCTTCATAGTGGCTAACTTGTCGTGGAGCTGTCATTTCTAACTGCTGCCATTACTCTTTGTCGTTCAATCGCCTTCAAATGGGCTCCTTGAATCGTGGAATATGATAAGTCTGCTCGATAACTGCTTCAATAACTGCTATTCTGGATAACCATAATATCTCATGTTTGTTAAGATTCTGGGCTACTCGAAGGTTTGGACGAGAACGAGGTCATCGCTCTAGGAGACTGTAAGGTACTGCATTCGCTCAGATTATGGACGTCTTGCAAGCTTGGGCGATGATGTTACTGTGTTCGTGGATTTCCTCTGCATTCACCAATAAT